GGGGGGGAAGGTGTAGAAAGGTGTGGGACGGTGGGGGGGAGCAGAGACTGGGGGAGTCACAGAAGTGAAAGTGATCATAAAACGATTTGATAGTGATTTGTAAAGCTAAGGTCCACCTTCTGTCTGTTATCTCTTGGAACTATTTGCAGGTTTTGCTTTTCTTTAGTTCCATTAAACCCGTTGACGCCACTGTAACACATATGCGGCATCAGTGTGCCCTTCCTTCTGGTGGGTGGCTACTTTTGTTCCCCATGATCCCTGTGTGTGTTGTAAAGTCTCCACCGCTCCAAGCTCACTCCCGTACTGGACTATAATCTTATATTTAGTTTACTCATTTTTATTGAGATTGTAGTCCATCAGGGGTGTGAGCTTGGAGCGGTGGTTACTTTACAACACACACAGGGACAGTGTAGCCACCCTCCAGAAAGAAGGACAGTGTCAGCACCAATCCAGAGATGATTTGAGGATCTACAGCTGTGTGATACACAAATAAGATACGTTTTTGTTAATAGTTAATGCATTTTTAAAATACATTTTTTTTTCATTAACCACTGTTGTGGGGCTACCCCCTCACTGCAAGGGTTAACTGCATATTTGTGTCTAGGTTAAAAAAAACAGTTATTCTTGCCCAAAGCTCCGAGCCGTACCAGCTACTTTCCCCCCTCCTCTGCCGCGGTCTAAGGTCCCATAAATCATCACATTCTATACACAATGTATAGGCATGAAAACGCTGAGGAACAATACAACAACAATTACAATAAAAGAAGATAAACAGTACACTTTGAGAAAAAAAAGCTCGCTATACACTGCGAATTTCAGACAGTTCTTGATGAATCGGAAAAAAATGTGTTCAGTGGGTATTCATCCACTGAACAAATTCATCTGGTATCTTTCAATCAGAAAATCGAAGGAGCCAGTGAGAAAATTTGGGGGCCAACAACGACAGCAGCCAACCATCTGCAGTCACTGTTCAGGAATTTTGACAGCAGCACGCCTGTCACTGTCAGAATACAATAGCCGAGAGAGAGATTCATCCATCCATGCCGTTTACTGTGGATGGAGGAATCCGTTATATTTTTTTCCATCAGCCTGCAGGTCGAATGAAAAAAAATAGAACAACATATGGGGCGTAACTAGAAATCCCAGGGCCCCATAGCAAAATTTTGTATGGGGGCCCCCAAAAAACCCCTAACCGGGCACTCTCGAGCCTATGCGGCCTTGGACTAGCGCCAGCCCCAACCACATTGCTCAGTATACCCCATAACTGGAGGCATTTCCTCACTAGGAGCAGATCACACTTTAAAGGCTAAGTTCAACTTTCTGACCATGTTTTATGTTACACCCATATTTAGGTCAGATTGCAACCAACCACATTGCAGCAGAGGGGCTTGTAGTTTCAGAGGAATACAAGTGCGGTGACATCACTGCACTTGTAGTCCATTAACTCTGCCTCCTGTCCATGTTACTACGCGTCCTTGGACAGGAGTAGGTATTCACCGATACCATTTTTTCCAGACCGAGTACGAGTACTGACTCTGACTGACTGACTTTTCCTCAGGTACTCACCGATAACAATTACTGATACTTTTTTTTAGTGTCATGTGGCAGTTTTTCTAAAACAATACAGACTAATGATTTCAGGAGAGTGGTGGAGCGCCAGGGCCCGGTCCCAGCTGCAACCGCTGAGACCCTGGTAGTTCTGTCACTGACTCCAAGCTGTAGAGGGACTACAAATCTCAGCAATACATTATACAGCAATGCAGAATACTATCAGCTACAGAGGACTGCAAAGCCTACTAATACATTATAAAGCAAGGCCAAATGGCAACCGTCTATAGAGGACTACAAATCCCAGCAACATATTATACAGCAATGCAGAATCATATGAAACTACATACTCTGTGCTGCTCTGGGGTGCCAGAATAATGTCTCCAGCAGAGTCTCAGGAGGGCTGCACAGGATCTCAGGTGGGCTGTTGGGGGCCTCAGGATGCCTGTGCAGCGTCTCAGAAGGGCTGCTCTGCGCTCTCCTGCATAAGGAATCTGAAATCCAAAGCCAAAAATGGATCACCCATAGGAAGATGCGACCTGCAGATGTCAGTGCCCACACACTGCGCACATGGGACCCCCAGCTCACTGTTGCCCAGGAGAGCTTTGCATGCTCTTTGTGCTGGCACTGAGCGACAGATGCTGCCACCAGTGACTCGGCTCAGCGCCCCGTGGGGGTGGAGTTGGCAAGGGAACTACAGGTCCCACAGGGCATTGCAAGACTCTGACAGCATAGGTATGACTCCCAGTGGCAGATGCATGATGGGATTTGTAGTTTCACCACAGCAGGAGTGCCAAAGTTGCCTACTAATGGTGTACATAGACATGATGCATGCACAAGGCACACTGATGCGGAGAACTTTGTAGAATGAAATATTTGTACAATAGAACATGAGCAGCTGCCTATACAAGCCCAGGTGTTCATTGTTATGGGTTGCTACAGTGCTATGGGCTACTGCAGACCAGTCCATCTGTTTTTCTGCATTACTATAGTCTGGTCCATCTGTTGCTATGGGTTACTCCAGTCTATCTTTTAGTATGGGTTACTGCAGCTTCCGCATTGGTTTAATAAATCTCCCAAATGTTTTATATATTTTCTCCCCAGCCAGGGCAGTGTGGGGGGGATGGGCTAGGGAGTGGTAGAGGCCCAGTGACCCCATGGAGGCAATTTTTAGCCTTTGTAGCAGAACTGGGAATAGTCTGGTGGCATCTCTAAAATATTAACCCCTTCCCCACTAACACCGGTGGACCCCTCTATTAAATTTTAAATGTTCCAACTTTGTTGCAAAGTTTATTGGCCAGGCTGGCACTGCTGACTTATCTGCTGCTGCTGCCGCCGCTGACATCTCCTGGCCGGGCTCGGTGTGCAAGGGGCGGGGCGTTACTGCCGCCGCTGACATCTCCTCGGTGTGCGGGGGGGCGGGGCGTTACTGCCGCCGCTGACATCTCCTGGCCGGGCTCGGTGTGCAAGGGGCGGGGCGTTACTGCCGCCGCTGACATCTCCTGGCCGGGCTCGATGTGCAGGGGGGCGGGGCGCTGACATCTTGGTGTGCGGGGGGCGTTACTGCCGCCGCTGACATCTACTGGCTGGGCTTCGTATGAGGGGGCTAGAGGCGTTACTGCCACCCCCTGACTTCACCTGGCCGGACTTTGTGTGCGGGGGTGTAGGCGATACAGCAGCTGCTGACTTCTGGCCGGACTCTGTTTGGGGGGAGTACCTCATCCCTGCTCCTGACCAGGCCCCCCTCTGTCCCGGGCCCCATAGCGGCCGCGTGGGCCGCTATGGTGGTAGTTCCGCCACTGGGCAGATTAAAAGAGCATTTGAAACTTACAAACCGAAAAGAGATAGCAGAACGTTTATGTAAGAACTTGAGTGATCTCATATAAGTGTCACGTCATGCAATGCTCAAATCTCCAAGAATAGCTTATACATTTATGGCACAGCATAGGAATATTGGACTTACTCGAACCATGGAGTCGGATGGCTGTTAGACTGGTCCCTTTAGCGTCCTTCGCTCCAGTAATGGAGTGTCCCTCGGCATCCTAGCGTCTAATACACTGTATTGGACAAGATGACTCACAGGACCTTACACCACTACAGCAGAGGGGGAGCGAGGCAGAAGGGACTGGTCTCACAGCCAGCCAGCTGCAAGGTTCAGGTGAGTATATGTTTGATATTTTTCGTCCCTAGACCAAAACAAGCACTTAAACCTTGTGGTGCGGGAGTAGCAAGGGTTAAGAATATTTATGCCCACAGTTGTTCTTTAAAAAAATGGTGTCGCCCATGATACCCAATCAGCTGTCATCTTCTAGTGAAGGGTCGAGACTACATCTAATTGGCTGCCATAGGCGACATCAGTTTTTCTATTGTAGCAATCTACAATAACATGGCACTTACAGCTTGGTTTCTCTTCACTGAAGCAATGCATATCAAGCAAGTCACAGCTCCAGACTGAAAAGCCTCGCTCAGGTACTGTTTGGTGCGTGCCAATTCAGTGACATCGCCATCTGTAAAATAAAAAAAAAAGAATCACATGAACAAAAGCATTTTAGAATGCCAGTCTCAAAACTTGTCATATACGTGTTTGCTGCCACTCCTGACTTATTTTAAAATGAGTAGCCTCCAGGGCCATCATCCTTGACCCCTTCACTGCCAGAGCCGTTTTTGCTTTTTTTTTGCACACATGTTAAATTGCACATTTTAGGCCTGAAGAAAGCCCCCTAAAATCATATCTTTTCTGACCCTTGAAAATAAAATGGTGACAGCTGCAATTTTTTTATGTCACATGATATTAGCGCAACAGTGCATCAAACCCAAATTTTCACAAAAAGATGCATTAAAATTGATTTAATGCACAAAAACACCCATTTGGGTCAAATAAAAAAGATGAGATTGTGTTGACTAGATACCGAACATGTCAAGCCTAAAAACTGTGCATGTCTGCTTTCCATGTCTTCAGTTTAGAGTGAACTGTGAATAATGTCCGTAGACTTATTACTCTCACTCCGGCGCACAGCACTGACTGTAAAAATGGCACTGACCATTGCAGTCCATACCCTTGACAACTATGAGAATAGGGTCGTCTTTCTTAAAGTGCACAATATGGGCAATAAACTATTTACATATTCTTAACAAGCTGGAAAAGAACTTTCAGGACCCAATGAAACTATAGCATTTTGGTAACACAAGCATTACTGTGTGCTCTGCCACAACATGCGGCGACGCATATTAAACACATTGGTGCAATGCATTTTGAAAGGCACCCCAGGTACGGATGTGCAAGTTCAGGTTGGCATGTAGCCGCGTGCTGCTGCATCCTGTCATGACCTATTCAGAAATTGTAAACACTTTATCACACATGATCTGGGCACCGGTTCACTTTAAGATGGGGCCTACACTGATGCATAACACTAGAATGTAAGCAAAAAAGCTGGATACGCATGGTCATACTTTTTCCATTGACAAACGATTTTTTTTTTACAGATTCCTCCATCTACTCTAAAAGAGTAAGTGAACGAATCTCCAGCTGTGTATATTGGATTCTGTCAGAATACCCGAACAGTGCTCGCAAGCAATCTTCATACGATGATTTTCCATCATGTCCCTTCGGCAAGTCGATTTAATGATCAAATTCTGTCCAGGGGATAGGGCCACCCCCGGTTCGAATTTTTTCCGATTTCTGTCGGCCAAAATTTGCTGCGGGTGCACCCAGCTTAAGGGCCGGTTCACACCATCTCCAGTCCCGAACACACTGGATCACATAGTGGAAGCCTCCCTGCGTTCTGGGGCAGGAGGGGGCGTGGCAGTGACATTCAAGTCAATGGCACCACAGACATGCCTGCCCGCAGTGAGATCGCCAGCAACAGAACACATGGCACAGACAGGCCCCCTCACATCCCAGAACGCAGGAAGGGTTCCACTATGCGATCCAGTGTGTTCCGGCCACTAACCATGCCGGAACGCACTGAAGATGGTGTAAAACGGCCCTAAGGATTCCAATGATTTGTAACATTTAAACAACATTGGTAATTTTGAAAATGGTAATCCGCATAGTCCAGAGATGACCAATTACCAGCCCACTGTGCTGAAATCCGCAATTCTTTTACCTCTTCCTATAGACATGCTAACTCCTTTCAAAACTAGTACAGATGTAAGGATTATCAGAGACATAAAACCACGGGAAACATATATTAATGGAGTAAACTATTTACAATCTATTTTTAACAGTGAGTAGAGATCTTTTCATGCCATGATTATTATAGGCATAACTTCAATGAAATACCTCTATATAAATTATAATGTAGAAGACTTTGACGTCACACCTATGTGTTGTAAAATGCAAGCTAACACAGGATCAGTGTTTCAGTACCAATCATTTTGAAAGATACCCCGATGCCCATTAGGGTTAGGGTAAAAGCACCCCAATGCATATGCGCTGCAGAGAAACAAAGCACAGACAAGCCTTACAACATGAATGGGCTTCCTTAATACAATGCATGGTAATGAGTGGAATATCGTCACAATAATGGGCATGCGGAAAAGAACCCAAAAGGAGCCACAAACATGTGAAGGGGCCCCTAAATAATTACGCTCTCCCCCTTTAATGTCCCGCTTTATGAGGAACTACAGCCTCACTCACAAACACTAGTAAAGTAGCTCATTCAGTTAGAAATGTCAATGACTTCTTTTGTGACAAATCACTCAGAGTTAAGTTTTAATATTTGAATCTTCCAAAGTGTATTTGATTGATGAATCAGAGTCATCAGAGCTTTTGTGTTGCTGTGTTTGTCTTGTCCAAGCACCACAGGACTCATACCATTTACAAAGTGGAGTTACACTGCGAGTAAGGAATACAATTACCTGTTTGGTTTGTGTAGGTTGTAAATGTTAAATCTAATATTTGATTCTGTTTCCCTTCAGCGTCTTCATCCCCATCGTCATCTTCATCTGATGAGCTGTAATTGTCTTCCACAATCTTTCTCACCACTGCCTGATTGGCTTTCTGGATCTCTTCAAATTTCCTCTTTGATCTATCCACTTAAAAAGAAACACAAGGAATATCTTACAATAGTACATGTCAGATACAGTAACAATCTATGCCTCACTTTATATCTTATAAACATTCATTAATGAAGAACTGGTGTTACCACAACAAAGCAATCACGCAATGTGACTGTCATGCAATACAATTGGTTTCAATACATTGTGGTAGTTTGTGACGGTTCCATGTCCTTTCTAGGGTTCTGCAGAAAAGTGTCAGTGCTACAGTACATACATGAGTAAATGAAACAAAGTATTACATGTTGTCTGCTGTTACAACATTAGCTGCATGTAAGATTTTAGTACATAACTGAACAGGTTTATATGAAGCAAGGTTAGCTAAAGCTAGGAAACTGCCTATTTCAGTACACCTAGTTAATGAGCGGGTCCTTGTCTCATAAAACCCTCCAGTCTAAAAGTAGAGCACAAGCCAAAACTTTTTAGTTTTGAATAGAGTAAGGGGGTTTTAACTAGAAGTGTACCGAAATGACATTTTCTGCCCGAAACCGAAAATTAAAAATTTGTCAGGCCGACACCGAAAGAAAAAATTTTCCTAAACTTTTTACAATATTCTTTTAAATATTTTATTCTTTACTTTTTTCTAAACTTTTTGATTTTTTCATATTTTATTTTTGTATTAAACATTTTTATTTTCTAACTTTGCTGTCATTGGCTCTGGGGAAATATCAGACCCCTGATATTTCTCTTTTAAAATAGAAAAAGAGAGATTAAGAACACAGAGTACTCAATCTCTTTTCTGCAGCCCCAGCTGAGTGTTCCTGTTCATTCAGAACTTGTGGCTATAGTATGTTTACCATGTCCACAATCATGAATGAACAGGAAGTGATGTAGAGGACTTCCTGTTCATTCATAATTGGGGACACAGTAAACATACTTTGTCCTCAATTATTTACAAACACTCGGCAATCAGCTGATCGCTGACTGCTTGTAACCGCTCTCCATCCTGACCTGCCTAACACAGGAGGTCTAGCGAGCGTTGCGGGGAGGAGAGCTCGGTCTCTGACAGCTGACTCCTTCCCCGCACTGCTGGCTCGTCCTCCTGTCACAGCTGTCTCCTCCCCCACACCGCTCTCCATCCTGATCTGTCACAGTGCTGTGAGCAGCAATGTCAAAGGAGGCTGGGCTCTCCTCCCACAGTGCCCCGCTCCATCTCCTATGACTTCGTCGCTCACAGCACTCTCCTCCCCTCCCCGCTTGACCTCCTGACAGTTTCTCTACTCCCCGCTGGACGCAGTGCTGTGTCAGAAGGGACACAGAGCAGCGCACAGCACTGAGGAGAGAAACTAGGGATGCACCGCAATTTCGTCCAAAAGATGGAACTTTCAGCATTTTGCGCAAAGTACCATTTTCGGCTGATATGTTTCGGCGTCCGAAATTTCGGTACATCCCAAGTTATAACCCCTGTCAGCATGTTTTTTTGTCATCTGCATCCCATTATTCGACAGCTGCAACAGGAAGTGAAAGGAAATCTCTACAAAGAGTGGGAAATCCCTGGTAGTCAGCAAGGTCACCAGTACTAATGTCTATTTCTGTTCTGATGATAACCCAAAAACGTCGGATTGTCTTTCACTTTCAGGGATAACAGTCACCAGGACGAATAGAGGATGAATCTCCGGGTGCACAGACAGCAATAACAACCTAACGTCTATGCACAGATGTGATCATTTACAGATTTACAGGACCTTGGACCACTGCAGCAGGGGGTGGCGGGTTGGTTCTGGTGAGTGTAACTTTGCGGTTCAGGTGAGTATATAACTTTTTTATTTTAGCACCTAATCAAAAAGGAGCAGTTAAGCCTTGCAGTGCGGGAGTAGCCCCACTACAAGGGATAATAAACGTTTTGCCCGGAGATCTTCTTTAAAGCGTAACTAAGCTCACTAGTATAAGTTCTCACCAGTGTGAGGCACATACCACAAGCAATTTCTTCCTTCAACCCACAACTGCCACTCACTAATATATGTAGGCCACTGATAAGTTTAATTACAAAAGCAGAACTACTTACCATGAACTTCACTTGCGTACTGTGCATTCAGGGGCTTGCTTACAGAAGCATAGGAGGTGTTCCCTCTTCCAGGACCAGGTCTGGAAACACTGTTTTCATTTTCTCTGGAGTAGGCAGCATTTCTGGCAGGTCCTGGGCCCGGAGCTGGAGAAGGAGCTCCATTGATAGCATTACCTCGACCTCTTGCTCGACCTCTGCCACCCTGGCGCCATGGAGCATCCATTGCTGCTAGCAGCACAAGAAAAGAGTTGTAATCCTAAAACAAACAAAAAAGACATTTTTTAGTCTCTTTAACTGAGAAAATCTATCTACACCACAGTGCCGTCACTGATTTAGTCTGTGCACATGGGCTTTTGTTCAAATCTGAACTGCTTTTATCCCAATTCATCTCAAATAAATGCGACAAAACTTTAAAGCTGATCGATGCAGCCTAGAAGGAGGTCAAATGTACTTGTGAAGAATCTTAGAAGCACCCTTTAAAAGGAGAACTATGGGGTTCTATCTTTTTTTTATGAATGCATTCCTTAGGCTAAATAAGTAAATAATGTAATTTACTGTAATTAGCCAAAATGCACAGGAAGGCTGTAAAACCTTATTTTAGGTGGTGGGCGGGGCTAAGCACCACAATGAGAAGACATCCCGACGTATCTGACGGGATCCTCCCCACTGATGATTGACAGTGATTCTTGAGAGCTGCTGCGCGTCCACGAATATATGGACATGCGCAGCAGCTCTCTCCTTACCTGCACGTCCCCGTGTGCCAGCTCCTTCCCCCCTCTCTCTTTCTCTCCCTGCTGACAGATCGTAGATCGCTGATGACAATCTGGAACAAGCGTGCAGCCCGTGCTGATGGAACTCCTATACTTGTTTCAGGTCAGTTTCAGGTCACACGTCCCCGTGTGCCAGCTCCTCCCCCCCCCTCTCTCTCTCTCTGCTGACAGATCGTGGATCGCTGATGACAGAGGGGAAGGAGCTCTCTCTCTCTCTTCAGCATTTACTACAAATCGGAAAGTCCATATATGGTAAATGATCGGATCCGATCAGTAGGGATCTCCAGTGACATAATTTACCATATATGGACTTTCCGATTTGTAGTAAATGCTGAAGAGAGAGAGCTCCTTCCCCTCTGTCATCAGCGATCTACGATCTGTCAGCAGGGAGAGAAAGAGAGAGGGGGGAAGGAGCTGGCACACGGGGACGTGCAGGTAAGGAGAGAGCTGCTGCGCATGTCCATATATTCGTGGACGCGCAGTAGCTCTCAAGAATCACTGTCAGTCATCAGTGGGGAGGATCCCGTCAGATACGTCGAGATGTCTTCTCATTGCGGCGCTTAGCCCCGCCCACCACCTAAAATAAGGTTTTACAGCCTTCCTGTGCATTTTGGCTAATTACAGTAAATTACATTATTTACTTATTTAGCCTAAGGAATGCATTCATAAAAAAAAGATAGAACCCCATAGTTCTCCTTTAAATGATCTCAAATGCAAGCTAAGTGCATCTATAAGTGGGCTGCATTTACTTATTGAGGGCTTGTTCACACCATGTCTGGATCATATGCGGACCAGAACAGTTTGTTCCCGGACCAAAAAAGCATCCTAATGTATCCCTATGTTATTTCTGGGCTCTGTTCACACCAGCGCAGTCCATCCTGGACCAGACAAAAAAAATACTGCTGGTCTAATTTTGCCTGTTCTGTAATGCACTGGAATGCATGGAAACTGAGTCATATATATACACTGCCCTGTACTGATGTCACCAGTCATATATATACACTGCCCTGTACTGATGTCACCAGTCATATATATATACACTGCCCTGTACTGAGGTCACCAGTCATATATATATACACTGCCCTGTACTGAGGTCACCAGTCATATATATATATATATACACTGCCCTGTACTGAGGTCACCAGTCATATATATACACTGCCCTGTACTGAGGTCACCAGTCATATATATATACACTGCCCTGTACTGAGGTCACCAGTCATATATATACACTGCCCTGTACTGAGGTCACCAGTCATATATATACACTGCTCTGTACTGATGTCCCCAATCATATATATATATACACTGCCCTGTACTGATGTCACCAGTCATATATATACACTGCCCTGTACTGATGTCAACAGTCATATATATACACTGCCCTGTACTGATGTCAACAGTCATATATATACACTGCCCTGTACTGATGTCAACAGTCATATATATACACTGCCCTGTACTGATGTCAACAGTCATATATATACACTGCCCTGTACTGATGTCAACAGTCATATATATATACACTGCCCTGTACTGATGTCAACAGTTATATATATACACTGCCCTGTACTGATGTCAACAGTTATATATATACACTGCCCTGTACTGAGGTCACCAGTTATATATATACACTGCCCTGTACTGAGGTCACCAGTTATATATATACACTGCCCTGTACTGAGGTCACCAGTTATATATATACACTGCCCTGTACTGAGGTCACCAGTTATATATATACACTGCCCTGTACTGAGGTCACCAGTTATATATATACACTGCCCTGTACTGAGGTCACCAGTTATATATATACACTGCCCTGTACTGAGGTCACCAGTTATATATATACACTGCCCTGTACTGAGGTCACCAGTTATATATATACACTGCCCTGTACTGAGGTCACCAGTTATATATATACACTGCCCTGTACTGAGGTCACCAGTTATATATATACACTGCCCTGTACTGAGGTCACCAGTTATATATATACACTGCCCTGTACTGAGGTCACCAGTTATATATATACACTGCCCTGTACTGAGGTCACCAGTTATATATATACACTGCCCTGTACTGAGGTCACCAGTTATATATATACACTGCCCTGTACTGAGGTCACCAGTTATATATATACACTGCCCTGTACTGAGGTCACCAGTTATATATATACACTGCCCTGTACTGAGGTCACCAGTTATATATATACACTGCCCTGTACTGAGGTCACCAGTTATATATATACACTGCCCTGTACTGAGGTCACCAGTTATATATATACACTGCCCTGTACTGAGGTCACCAGTTATATATATACACTGCCCTGTACTGAGGTCACCAGTTATATATATACACTGCCCTGTACTGAGGTCACCAGTTATATATATACACTGCCCTGTACTGAGGTCACCAGTTTTATATATATATATATATATATATATATAGTTACACATACACTGCCCAGACCGGCTGTCACCCCTCCCCCCATGTATAATTTACAGTAATGTTCTATCATGATACACGTGCACCGTAGAATAGGGCTCAGTGGGTACACATTACCTGTCAGCAGCAGTCAGTGCATGGCTCGGGTACACCGGTGAGAAGAGTACACATGAGATGAGTCCTGCCACTCGGCCTCACAACACTGTGCAGAATCAGCGCGAGAAACTACATCTCCCAGCATGCAGAGCGCTGCCAACGGTGTACGGGAAGCGGCAAGACTACAACTCCCGCAGACTTCGCTCTAAACTCCCAGAGTGCCCCGCGGTCCGGTGACGTGTCATTCTGAGGATGAACGAGAGAGCGGCCGAGGTACCGTTCCCGGCATGCATTGGGGCCGGTCTACGCTGTCCAATCAGAACATTCACAGGGTTAGTCACGAAAGGGTGAAGAGTTTGGAGCAGGGAGAAGTGAACAATCTAGGCCAAAATAGCTGATTTGGAAAAATTCGCCAATTCAGCTCACTTTCCAGTTCAGCTATTTTGGCCTAGATTGTAGACTCCTGCCTATTCCAAACACCACCTTTTTGTGAATAGCCCTGTCAGTTTGTGAGACTACTGGAGGCACTGCATGTCTGTGTTCTCTAGAGTGCAGGCTGCAAGAGATGTTTTCATTTTGGAACTTCACTAACATTATAAATGTGTGTGTGTGTTTTTTTTGTTTATGTTCACAATTGTATATATAAATATGTGAAAACTTTTATTTTCTCACATCAAGCTATGTTGAGGGGTCTGTTTTCTGTTTCTAATGTGCAATCCCTGTGGGTAGGTGAGGATGCACATTTCCCGATAGGAATTTGGTGCTCAAAATGTATGTCAAGCAACTGTGTTTGGATGGAATGAGGAAGAAATAGATCTCCTGTCAGATTTGTATTGCTGTGCTGGGTTTAAATAGAGAGATTTAGCCTCACTTCCTGTCCTCTACAAGAAAACACAAATAGAGGGGCGCCTTTCCTAGTGGAGGTTAGTTTATTCAACAATCATAAAAGAAGATAAGCTGGCAGGTACTCACAAAGGTAGAATAACAACGAGTTGTAAAACAGTAAAAAGCGGAGCACTGGAGGGATCCGTGTGATGAGTTCTGTGTACAGACTCATCACACGGCATGTTCCCAGTTCCATGCGGTGGTGTGAACCAAGCCAATCTGTGACAAGGGACATTGCCTTGTCTTGTGTTGGGGCTGCGCTGGAAACAACGATCAGTGCGGCCCCAATGCATATGGTGTGAATCGGCACTTAATGTTCACAGATTCGCAGGGTGAATGCCTCTGCAAATTGTTTAGAAATACACCACATAATGTAGGGAAAATTGTAGAACTATCACCAGAGTAAGGTGAGGTCAAGTCATTCAATAAGGACAGGTGTTTCAATGACAACTATCTAGGATGGGATTTCCCCTAGCTTTGTGGAGATTTGCTTTCATTTTCATTTGCATCTTTGGGACAGGAAGTGGGAGAAATCTCCCCAGTGTGACACCAACAGTAAACGTTAACCTGAAAGTCAGAGGTGCAAGAAACCATGAATGCCCCCCCCT